TCATAGCAATGGCTCATAACCCGAGCCAAGAAGGCTTTAACAAGATTCTTTGTTAGAGAAGGAGAAGAAGCCCATAAAATACTTAAGATCATAGCAATGGCTCATAACCCGAGCCAAGAAGGCTTTAACAAGATTCTTTGTTAGAGAAGGAGAAGAAGCCCATAAAATACTTACTTGTTTCAGATCTTTTCTTATCGTTTGTTAGAGAAGGAGAAGAAGCCCATAAAATACTTACTTGTTTCAGATCTTTTCTTATCGTTTATTCTCTGAGGCATTTAAGCTATATTTTGGTTTGTAACTAAAAGAGAATGCACAAGAAATGTAGCCTGTAAAGATAGTGTTCATACATGCCTACAAGGTTCTTACTTGATCTAGTGTATCTGTGATCACTTTTCAGTCTCTCTTTTAAACTGTCCAACGGGTACAACGCCTGCAGGCTCGTGATGGTTTGCGCTATTTACATCGATACCCTGCTCCTTGAAAAACAAAGAAAAACAGTTTAGAGACACGGAAGAAAAATCGAGCCAAGATATTGTTTCATTTAGTAACACATACTTGGTGATTTGATCCTCTTTGAGGGTTGGAGTTGAGATCAATCATATTATGATCACAATTCCCATTTGATTCTTCACCGTTAGCTGAAGAAACCTTTTGACGGTTTGCCTCCTTACACCGTAATCCCAATTCATCAGCGTGATTAGGCTTATCGCCTGGAAACTACAAGACAGAGATCACGCAAATCAAGAATGCTACAAGATCCGTAATTTGAGAAGAGAGTTTTGATGCTACAAACCTCAATTCTCTGTCTGAGCAGTAGAAACCGCTTGTGTGTTCTCTTGCCGCCAACATGTACTACCATGTCACATTGTAGACAAAGGGAAGTACCATCTATCTCACAGTAAAAGAAAGCTGCTCACCGATGAAAAACAACATCTCAAAAAACCTGAAAATATCCCTTTTACTATACACTGAAAACAAAGAGAGAATTGAAACATCATACCGGGCGCATTTTCGCATATGTCACAGCTTGGTGCATTGGTAGGATCAGCCAAGCCTACACGTACATGTCTACTAGCCAGCTTGTTGCACATATGAACCTCAAGACAAACAAACAAGAGAATGTTTAATTTCTCTCTTAAAAGATAATTGATATCTTATTGACCACAATCAAACCCATTGCAGATCAAAACCTATCTCTTATAGCTCTGTAATTGAGTGTCACTAGTGATAATGCTAGATGCAAAGTGCAAACTTGTGAAGACAGGACAAAGTCACTCGAACCAAAGAACATCATATCAATCCTTTGTTGATTCAGAATCCGGTTTGGTTGGAAGAATACAACTTTTAATAAACCTGAGAAAATCTTTAAATGTTTTGAGAGAAAGTTAAGTTGGTTAATTACTTTTTCGTCGCAGGAGCAGCAGAGTGCAGCTTCGTCGGCGGCGCAGAAGACAATAGCGGCGGAGCTTTCACACGCATCGCACAAAATCCTCATGTTTTTCTTTTCTTCTCGCTTATCTTTGAAAGATTATGATTAATCCCACTTTCAAAGTTCGCATCTTTCGCCAAACCCAGAACAAATTTGATCAAGCAAAAGGACAAAGGGAGATTTTTTATGAATCTATCTCTTGGTTTCTCTTAATGCAACAATCAATGTGAAGCTGAGAGAATTTGGAGGAGAGAGCAGCAGAGAAATATGATGGATGGAGAGTGAAAATAAAATTTCAGATGCTGAGAGTAAGTTTGTTTATGTACTCGCTCTCTCTCCCGTTAACTTTGATTTCTCTCTTCTCCTTCGATTGTGATTGCCCCAAAATAATAACAAAATCATAAATGAGATTTTTTGCCTTTTTTTTTCTCTTAACGAACTGATGATGATACAAATGAAATCAAATTTGTATATGTTTTCAAAACACATATATTACCCATACATTTTTATATATATTTTTTTTAATTTTTACGTTGATTTTTATCCAAATTGCTATGGTAAGACATAATTTATTGAAACTTATTTGACCAAGTTAATCATCTAATGGTGAAAATATTTGGGAAAGGGTAAATT